TATATATAAAATATTTTAAATTAAAAACCAATAACAAAGGGGGAGATGCAGATTTTTAGGTCAACTTAAGTAAAATAAAATATGCAAGAATATTTATAAAAAGACTTAAATATCATTAATAAATTAACACAAATAAATGATTCATTAAAAGTATTTAAATAATTTCATAAATATTCCTACAGCTTATAAACACTTTTATGTTAGTGGAGAATATTACCTACCTTCATTTCTTAATTGCAACATACATTTGATTAAATTGAAGAAGTTATCATTGGAGCACGTAAGACGCAACCATTAAAAAAATATAGGTTAGGGTAATCTGCTTCAAGATGAAGAAAAATGTGGCGTCATAATCAAGTGAATTAAGAGTTCCAAATTCGGTTTTCAATTCTTGGAAAAGAAACCTTTCCAAAAAAAAAAAAAAAACAAAAAAAAAAAAAAAAAAAGAAGAAAAAAAGTAGAAGAAAAGAAACCAGCCAGAAAATTGCAGGGAATGTCCAAGCTGGTCTAACATGATTTCCACAATATTAAAAAGGCAGCCCAGTTGTCTTAATCTTGTATATTAAACTGTATTCTAGAGAAGATTTAAATATAATAATTAATTTTAATTAGGTGTTATGTTATATCACTATAATTTCCATTTTTTTTTTCTTCTTACTTACCTAACATGCTATTTCACTTGTATTGTGTATTTTTTTTTATATATAAAAAATTATGATAAAAATGTGTTTGAATTAATTTTTGTGTACTTTAAAATTAAATTTTTTTAATTTTAAAAATATACTTCTTGTATAAGTCTTGTATATTTAAAGAAATTAATTTTCTTTAATATGTTAACTCAAAGAATTGATTCCAAATTTGACTTATAAAACAACGTTTACACAACGCCAATGGATTTCACCCTCAGGATTCTTATACTGTGTTATTGTGTGCATTGAAACCCAAATGACCACGTTAGGTTTACGCCTTTAGCATCGGAAAGCAACAGCACGTCAAAATGCAAAAAAACCAAAATGGGTAGACCTTTCCCCGGCCCCTTTACTCCATTTCCTTCTCTAAGATACTCCATTCAACTTGTGTTGTGGTCCCTAATTAAGGCTAAAAAACAAGAACACGAAACAATTCCTAGTCCATGAGCATCTTAGGAAACAGTGAGATTGAGATTTGAGAGAGAAGCAAACCACATGGTAAGTTTTCGTTTTCTTCATCTTCTCAACTTGAGGAGATTGCTTCACCAATGTTTTTCTTCTCCCTTTCCTTGTATTGTGTCTTTCTTTTATCAGCATGTTGTTGGGGGGGTTAGGATTAGTGATATTTTAGGATTGAAGCAAAACCCACAACCCCTTTTTTTCAAATGGTCAGCTTCATCTTAGGTAAGTGGTTAAAAATTTAAAGATTAAACCCCCACAACTTCGATTTATTTACTCTACTTAAAATGGTCAAATTCGTCCTGTACATATTGTGTCAACTTTGCATTCTACATGAAATTAACTTTTCAAATGAAACAAATTTATCCAAAGTTTTGCCGTACCCTACTCCTATATAATCGGCATAGATTAATGTTTAATCTATTTTGACCATGTACATTTATCTCCTAATAGCCATCAAGCTTAGCCGCCCCTTTTAATTAATGACCAAATTATTCAACCCAAGACCAGGACTGGGGGTATGAGGTTGAGTTTCATTTTCTAAGCAAAGTTCTTTAATTTATTAATAAAATCTTGTAAAGTTTTGGCAGTTAAAAGTAATTGTCATTCGCTTAAAAGACTTTCACATTCTCATGGTAAGAATTCAGGTCTGTACTTTCTTTTTTTTTTCCGTCCCCCTTCTCCCAAAGACTTGAACCACTTTATACAAAAAATATAAAATTTTTATTGACTTTCTCTAATTATGTGTAACTAGGACAAGGGGAAGTGAAGACTGAGGAAGTTGTATTCCATTTCCCCATTTTCCATTCCATTATTAAACGTCATGTCTCTATTTTTCCTGTTTCTTTATCACCAACTCCCCCAACTTGAAAAGATGCTGACTACTTAGATTCATAAATAAATGGTTGTACTAAGACTTTTTAACTCTAATTTAGCCACTTAACGTGAACAAATAATTTTGAGGGAAAGGAACTGATAACTGTAACTCGTTGGAACCCTGTCAAGCAGTCTAATAATAAAGAAAGAAATCAAGAAATGCACATCCATTCAAGACAATGAAGTTTTACTACATTGAATTGTTCAGACACTACCGAGTACATTGTAGAATGGTTCTAGGAACTGTGGCTTGAATTGTCAAAAATTCTTCACAAGACATTAAAAGATTCTGTAAAGAGGGGTTCGGCGAATCACATCTGGCAATAATTAAGTTTGCCTCTTCAATTAATTGAAGGATGGTGTCCTCTCCTATACGTTGGGAATTGCTCTTGAATAAATTTAACCATTCTGACTTGGAAAACACCTGCAACTCCTTCAAAGGAAGACTGATAATGCAGGAGAGAGCAGAAACATAGTCAGCTTTCTCCAGTTTCATACAAAACCTTTCTTTGATAAGGGCAGGAGGAGGGATTCTATTGGCTTGAGTTAAATGCTCCCAAGTTGTTTCCAGTAGCTCTCCCTGCAAAGCATAAACAAATCCATAAAGTGAATTCTCACTAAGCTTCTAGGTGAAATATGTTGCATCTGCCAATAATATCCGTCTTTTTGGAACCCAGAGTTTTGCCAAAAGATGATTAAGGTCATCTAATGACAGAAACCAACTTTGCCTGACCCATTAATACAACAAATATCAATAATGGAAAGTTAGATCAATGTTCCAAAAATGTAACTTTCCATTATCAGCAAACAATCAATAAAAAGAACAAAAACCCATAATATCAAAAATGATGATATAAATTATTCAAGATATGTAAGGTAGCTTGTCATAATAATATAAGATGAGAAGGACTTTTTAAAAATACCTTTCCAGCTCTGGTGGCATTGAGTAATATCTGGAGGTGATGTTTTGCATTGAAGTGAAAACCATGGTTCAACATCCTTCCATAGATATAGACAAAGTCATCCCACCTCTTCTCTTGAGCACATGCACCTAACATGACATTGAATGTATAGATATCGGGTAATACTCTATGCTTGTAATCAGATCTTCTGTTGATATGATTGCCATCTTCTGACATTTTCTCAAATAGTTCTTTTGCTTCATAGAATAATCCATGTTCTACATAAGCTTTCAGCATTATGTTACAAGTAACAAGGTTTGGGGAGCAAAAGTCCTTCATTTGGTTTAAGATGTATGTTGCGTTTTGAATGTTTCCAGAGTCCAGGCAGGCTTGAATTAAACCAGTATAAGTAACCACTAAAGGTTTATTAGCAACCTTGCATATTTTTTCAACCTATGAAAAGTAAGAAATTGCAATGTGTTACAAAACACAGAAGGTAGACTGAAGCTATTCAAATATGTGATGTTATTCTATATGCCGAATTTAATTATCCCTTATAATCTCTTCCCTTTAAACTCGTTCACAGCTACAGATAGTTAGGCATCTTTTCAAAAGATTATTAGTATTTAATCAGAAGAAAAAAAAAAAAAAAATAGTATTTAATCAGAAGAAAAAAAAAAAAAAGAGTCATTTTGAGGAATAAACAGAGAGTAAAACTAGAAACAAAACTAAAACCAAAGACTCCAGTAGTTAGTGTCATGACTTTGTTTATGAGAGATGCTGGATGTAGCTCTTGCATCACCCTTTATGGTAACATGTCAAAACAATGCATGTTAAAGAGTTGGACTAAATAGCATCTAGCATGACTTCAAAGGCATGAAAGTGACAACTGACAAATCCTAGATATCAAAACCTCTATTTGACCTTCTACTGATGGGGTTTGGCAAAATTGATGAGGTAGCTATGTAAGAGTTGCCAGTACCTAAGGGGAAAATGGAAAAAAAAAATCAAAAGAATTAAATCAAGCATAAATAACCACCTGAATTAGTGCTTCTTGGCATCTTCCAGCACTACAAAGACAGCGAGCAAGATCGTAATAAATAGCAGCAGAGCCTACAATTCCTCGTCTTTCCATATCTTGGATGGCCAATATGGCCTCATCTATCTTACTTTCCTTCCAGAGAGTATTCACAAGAACTGTAAATAATGAATAATCAATTTCAAAATTGAACCTTATAAACTACATTTTGAACAAGGACAGCTTATTCCTAAATACCTCTATATGCCAGAGCATTTGGCACTGAAGATTTCTGGATTTTTCTAAAAAACTCGTGAACTAAGTTATATTTGCCACAAGCAAACATAACCTGCTTAAAAAAAGAAAAATGTACCCAATGTTAGCAGTTCATGCTTAAAACTGAATGATAAAAATATAGACTGAGAGATACAGAGACATTATTTCCAATAGTAACAACAGTAAACTACTATATAATTGTAATCTTAGATTTCACTGCCACAACTTATGCCAACAAAAACAAATTCCTTTCTAGAGAACACTGCTTGACCTTCCTCTTTATAAAGTTTGCACTTGTTCAGAAGGGATAAGAACAGGATCATGAGCATTAAAAGAGCAGCTCAATTGAACTATTACCTCCATGATGAGTCCATATGTTGTAGTTGATGGCCATTGACCCCGTTGCTTCATATGTTGCAAAACCCAAAATGCTCCCTCCCACTGTTTCCGCTGAGCACAAGCATTTAGGACCTGCAGATACATAAGAATAAAAAATATGCACTCATAAAAATGTATAGAGTTTAATCAAACCACATAAAGACAACTTTGCAATCTTTCAGGACAGCAGCATCATGGTAGAACATTTAAGCATGTGCAGAATTTTTGTTATCCCAAGTTTTACTTAGCCTTTTGATTTTCTACAATCTTGTTAATGGAGCTATCTCTAATGGTATGAGCAGTCTGAAGGCAGAACCAGGAACAGCCAGGATTCAACTTGGGAAGTTGATTCCATACAGTTACAGGGACTTTAGGGAAGGAGGTCCAGATTCTAAAACCAAGCATTAAAGTGTTGATTCCAAAGTGTCAGGATGATTACCCGACTTTACCCAGACCATGGACTGAACAGTAGATTTGAACCATTTCATACTTTAACAGGAAATTTCAAGTCATGCACATGAAATATAATTAAACCTAAACCACATATGACCTTTTAACGGCTAAGAGACTCTGGTTCATTTTCATTTTTCTGAAAGTAACTAAGAGACTTGGTTTCATATGCTTTATTCTCAATTAGTAACAAATATTTAAAGATAAGATGATCAAATAAAAAAATATTAAAGCCTTAAAATCTGAAGTTTTGTCCATCAATTAACAATTTGCAATTTTGTGGTATGAAGAAAACAAAAAGCTACAAATTCATAGGGTAGACTCTAAAACCAACCCTGGAAGTAATAAGGTAGAGCCCAAGATAGGTTCTAGGTTCAGATCAAGTAGATATGGGTACATATGTTCTTGAAACCATCTTTTATGACAGGTTCTACGTTCCATTGCTAAGTCAGTCCTATCAGATCCACACTCACCATTCCCTACAATATTAGGAGAATATTAACTTTCAAAAACGAAGAACCAGAACATTAAGCAAAACAGGAACAAAAGGGTTACAAACCAAAACAACAAGAACAAAAATAATGCAAAATTAACAAATATAAACTAGCTGCAGTAACAGCAACAGAAATGATAATAGAGTTTAACTGAACTGGTTGACAAAAAGCATAATGTTTTAACTGAAAAATGATAATAACAATTATAGCAGAACATAGAGTACATATTACTTTAAATATGATTGCAATTATCATAAGGTCTAGGAAGTAGGCATTTTAGAAGTGACCACAGTTTAACCAAGAACCTTTTGTGTCATTTGTAATTGACAAACATGTAGAATTTATTTTAACCAATATTATATTATACAGATAAAACTGAGATAAGATGTACACAGCCTTACCCTGTCACATTCATAATTTAACTGTTCTCTAAAATCCATAAATTTTCAAGTTTCAACCACCCACCATAAATAAGAAAGTCTATCAACATCAATAAAGAAAAATCTCTGAAAGAATTGATTTGTAGAAGCATTAATATTGAGATTTAAACATGGACTGGAAGCTTATTAGGCACCTATTTGGGTTATAATGTGACAAAATGATATAGGAGGTAACTTCCTTCGACAAGATACTGATCATTGGTTAACCAGTACAATCACTTACCGCATTATAGACCACAATATCAGGTTCCAGTTGTGGGTCCCAGTTCCCAACTACCTCAGATTTGAAGTTCTTCTTGGGAGGAGATTGCATGGTATCAATCACACCAAAAAGTTCTTTCAAATGCCCTGCTTGTCCAAGAGTGACAGCAATAGAATGATAAGCGACCATGTCAGGGTACGAGGACATTTGTTGCTGGAGAAAATGGAAAGACTATATGGTTAGTTAAAGTCCAATGTTTCCCTTTCACTTAATAAGAAGTGCCACAAAAGTTTATTATTTATAAGCAGTACCTGCATTGTATGAAATATGTTAAGAGCTTCAACAGGTCTCCTTGCCTTTCCAAGTACATGAAGTGCAGTTGTGTAAATGTATCTACATTATGGAAAGGACCTTGAGTCAACCAGGTAGTTAGTTATATGCCCTAGAGTTTCTGAAGCAGCTCTACAGTGATGGAATTTCAAGTAGTGCATATTCTTTGGCTTTCTCAAGGTGGCACGTAAAAATTAAAAGGCCAAACACCTATATAACTCCTTGTTGATGTAACCAAAATGCCATTCATCCAAAGAAAAGCAAGAAAAGACAGTCAACAACAGCAATCAGAAAAACCTCAAGAAAATGTTACTTGAAAAAATGATTTAACTTTTTCAAGCTCGGCATTGATGCAAATACCAAATAGAACTAGATTACCATGAATCTTAAAAAGTTATGGAAAACGCATGCATTATTTATTTATTAAACTCTTTTATTCTATAATTTAACTAATTAACGAAGAAAAGAATCTGCTACCGGAAATGTGCAGATAATTGGTGATGGCAGGGCAGGGATATTTGATAAGGAAAATACCTGAGTCTATAGGATTTGAAGCGCTCACGCAACTGTAGCCACTCAATCACTTGAAGTACCCGCCTCCAGTTTCCCAGTTTACCCAAAATCTGGATCACCCTCAAGATAGAATGATCTGAAAATCTGATTCTTGCGCTTCGCATCATCTTAGAGAATGACCACTCAGGCATATCCACATCTGCAGCATTCAACCTGTTAAAATAAACTATTTTAACATGACGCAGACTCTGATTAAAATATGAAATGTAAAAATTGTTAATATCACATTCACAGTCAAGGCAGGTGCAGGTGGAGCTAGATCCCTGAAATGAGAGACAAAGTTGACAATGATATATCCAGGACAAGAGAAATGGAGCTGATGAGGATTGTAAAAAAGCCTTTAAGGCAGCAAAAGTATTTCTTTCCGAGTTTTTACCTGCATAGGTCAACTCAAAAAGAAAAGTCTTCCAAACCCACAATACATGAACCCTAAACTGTGTTTGATAAAAGGAAATTGTGTCAGAAATTTCTAACCTGTATACTTCAATCGTATACTTCCGATTGAACCTAAAAAATTTTACTAATCAGATTTGACTGTAACCAGAGACACAATAAAACAAATGTGACACTCTATTTTCCAACAATCTATCTCTGCATGCTAATCTAAATCAAAGTAAGGGAATTAAAAACAAAGAGGGCAAGTATCCAGCATAATACATGCATTAGGTGTGGTAAAGCAAAACAATTGGAAGGTAACATTTCAGAAGAAAGAAAAGAGAAATTAAAAATCCAGCTTACAACCCTACCTACTATTTTGTGAAAAATTAATAAACTCAAAAGTACTTTTCCAGCATAAGGAGGAAGGATCATTGAAGAAGAATGAGAAAGGGAGAGAGTTCATACCGCTTTGCTAATTTTTGGATTCTCTCCTCCATTTCCTTCCGTGAAACTCTTGGCTTGTCCACTACATCATCAGATTCTTCAAAATTCTTGAAGGCAGCTCTTTCCACATCCAAACTATTATTAACACCTTCAAGAAGTGTCTTCCTGCTTCTAGCTAACTTTCCTCCTTGCTGCAACATTAAACCATCACCAACTTTCTCAAGTTGGAAGCTACCATTTACAGGATGAGAATGTTTGTCACCAAGACCTTTCTTCCCCTCAGAGGCTTTCTCATTCTTTCCAAACACCTCAGAGGGGTCTTCTATACCTTGCTCAAACACACCATATGTACTTTCATCACTAACACCATTCAACACCTCAAAGCTTTCTCGTGCATTTGTAACCTTTGTACTCTCAATCAAGTTGAAGTCATCAATATTTGATTCTATGGTACCAGTTTGGTTAACTGACAATCTTCCACCCTTTCTCTTACCTCCTGGCTTCCACCTTTCTTTTGCATTAAAGCTGCCATGTTTTACATTCAATCTATCCTTTGATTCTGCCACATCCTTCTCCTTGTAGGAATAATTTAATCTACCTTCTCGGCTATTAGCTCCTGCACCTTTTCTGTTTGGTTCATTACATTTTTCCATTTTGCACCTCCTTTCCTCATCTAAAAGTTCCCTAGACTTCAACTCCATGTTTTTATCTCCTTTTGATGCTTCCCTTCCCTTTGATTCATTCTTCAGCTTATGCCTACTCCATTTAAGGGTATGCTTCTTCTCTTCAACAGATTTAATAGACTCCATAGCTTTCAAATAGTCATCAAAAGCTGGCTGAAATTCTAACTCCTCCTCAAGTATCCCAACACCGCTGCCACCGCCGCCGCCGCCACCGCCACCACCGGAGACCAATCTATCATCAGACTCCCTCTTCGACAGAGCATTACAGGTCCCATAGATAAGCACACTTGTACCAACCATCCATAACCCCTTCTTCTCATTCTTTTTGTTCAAACGGACAGCTAAATTGGGTGCCCCAGAAATTAAAAACCCAGACACCCGAGTAAACGGTTTGTGGGTACAGTAGAAAGCACAAATTCCATTTCTGTCAAAATTAAATACGCTCGTTCCAGCATTTGCAGTAATCACCAGCATCTCTGAGTTCTCTATGACAATCAAGCTAAACAGAATTTTGATTCAACTGAAAACATTTTTCATACTCACTGCTTTTTTCAGAACCTTAAATTACCAGTACAAGGATTGGAGCAAAAATACTTACAGCAAGTACTCCTTGCCATGGAGTCAATAAATCTGTAAACTCCGGCGAGCTAACGTTATAGGATAAACCTTGATTGATTTTCATTTTTTCCTTCGATATTTCTTTTAGAAAAGCGTTGTGGTGTTGCCCATCTCATATCGCCTTCGTGCAGTGTGGCTATCCCTTGTAATAATTATAAAATGTGATGTATGCAAAATTGAAAAAGTTTATTTTTTAATATAGTTTCAATTGCACTTGCACTCGTGACGCAATAACTAGTATTATTGATAAAGTGTATTTTTTTTTTGTGGTTTCGAATCCGCTCATGATAAAAAGTTTTAAAAAATATATATAGTTTCAATTGTTTTAAATAGTAGAATTTTAATTATTTTGATAAAAAAAATCTCCCAATATTAGAGCTTTTTCTTGTTAGATGATTTTTAGTTTATAATTTAAAATAATACCTATTATAAAATAAAATATTTTATGTAGAAATTAATGGTAAAATTACAATTTTAGTTCAAAAATAAAAATAAATAAAAATATTTTTTAACGAAACAAATGATGGACTAATACGAATAATATTCTTTTTCATTATGTGCATTTTTACTTGTTTTAGTAAATCTGATTTTTGTTAGAGGGAGGAGGAATTTGGAAAATAGAAAAAGTTATAATGAATTTAAGTTAAGAAATTGTGACTTGATTAGTAAAGAGATTTGATTTTTATTTTATTAATTAATATTTTATTTTTTAGAGAAATCCATTAAAAAATAATTTTTTTTATAAATTTATTAGTTCTAACATAAATTTATTTTTTTTTACTAAATAAAAAAAATTAATTTTAAAATATATACAAATTGATCCAAAACCACTTAACTATTAAAAAAATGATAACAAATATTGGTTCTTCTTAAGGACATGTGATACTTCAATGTTTGATTCATTTTTAATTCAAAGTAAATGATTAGTATTGGCAACATAATCAATTTTGTTAACAAAAAAATTGCACTTTGAACAGAAAAAAAAATGGTTTTACCTCCAACAAACAAGCCCATAAGAATTTTGGTTTTTGGGCCAAAACCTCTTCAATTTCAATGGAAACCCTAAAACACGGGTCCCGGCCCTGGGCGCCGGGGCGCGGAACAAGACCGTTGCAATCCACGTCTCAATACTACACTGTTGAAGCGTTTTTTTATGATATAAAACTCTGCTCATGATGTTGATTGTTGAGTCCCCCATAAAAAAGAATGAATATAAAACAAATTCAAATTTCAAAAGTTCAAAAATGACAAGAGACAATCAAAAAGCTGCCACTTTTCTTGCAAATCTACTTCCGTATGATCTTGATATCGGAAGCTTTTCAATTCATTACACTTCATATATTTGATATTTCCAGCATCCCATTCCAGTCCCAGCTCCTCCCTGTTCAAATTCAAATCCTCCACTTTCCTTTCCGGTCAAAAGCTTCCAACTTTCAGATTACAGCGTCTGAATTTGTTTTCTGTCTGATTTAGGACAACAAACAGTGAGACCCAGTTTCATTTTTTTTTTTTTCTTAAACGCATTTTGAGCTCCATTGTTGCACAGACACTAAGCCCATTTTGAAATGGAAGTTGTGCCTACTGCTCGCTTGTCATTTGTATGAAGAAACCGATTGAATTCGGAACTCATCCACTTCAAAGTTCAAATTTTTATTTTCTCCAGAATGAGAGCAGAAAACCCATCTGAGAATCGACCCAGATCGTTGAAATTTGTCGATCAAAATCAAGCACCAAGGGATCAAAATGCGAAAGCCGGTGGGAACCAATCAAAGCCAAAGTCCTCTTGGGGTTCTCACATTGTTAAAGGCTTCACGGCTGACAAGAAAACCAAGGCGCAATCCACCACAGTGCAGTGCAAGAAACTCCCCTTCTCCGAAACGGCAAACCAGAAAAACCCAGTAGTACAGTCTCAGTCAAGGGTGAAAAGGTCGCTTATCGGGGATTTGTCTTGCACGGTGAACTCAAGCCAGGTACATATTCATGCGTATCAAACTCATCACCGGAGGCAGTCCTCAGGGTCTCGAGATTTGTTCATTGAATTAGACCATCTTAGGGACCTCCTTCAGGAGTCCAAAGAAAGGGAGTTCAAGCTGCAGGCCGAGCTAACAGAATGGAAAAACAAGGCCAGGGTTTCGGACCTCGAGAGGGAGCTTGACGCCTGGAAAAATCAGGTGGATGATCTTTTGCAAAGAGTGGGGTTGCTGGAGTCTGAGAAGTTGAGTTTAACTGAGCAGTTGGCAGAATTGAGTTCGATTCCGGGAAGGAATGAGGAGTTCTCGAAAAAAGAGGAGAATGAGGGTTCAAAGGCACCAGAATCATTGCGTAATCTTGAACTGGAAGTCGTGGAATTGAGGAGGTTGAACAAGGAATTGCAGCTGCAAAAGAGGAACCTTGCTTGCAAGCTTTCTTCCATGGAGTCTCAGTTTGCTTCTCTTGCCAAGGCTAATGAGGTACTTTCAATTGCTTCAATAGATAACAGTGCATAACCCATTTCCTCTACTATTTCTCTTTTCCTGCATTCCGTCTTTGGTTGATGGGAAACTTTTCTAAGTTGAGAAGAGATTGAATTATGAAAAAACTAGGAAATTGAAGTCACACATTGTTAACCTTAGATTATCTGCCTTTGCATTTATTTTCATTCTTCATTGATATTATTGTTCAACTTGTGAGGAGGATTAATTCAATGTATTTGAGTAAATCATTTCTCAGTTTTTGTTCTTCAACATTTTGTGTTTTAATCTTTACGTTCTCATTTTGCTTGCTTGTTGCTCTCTATCTTGCTTTTATTAGAGTGACATCATTGCCAAAATTAAAGCCGAGGCATCCATGCTAAGACACACAAATGAAGACCTATGTAAACAAGTTGAAGTTCTACAAATGAGCCGCTTGAATGAGGTTGAGGAACTTGCATATCTGAGGTGGGTCAATTCATGCTTGCGAGATGAGCTGCAGAATTCATGCTTATCAATGAACTCTGATAAGGCATCTAGCCCAAGTCCAAGGAAAAACAAGGGCGAATCTGTTGGCTCACCAAATTGTCGAAGCAATAGGTGCTTGGATCACAGTAGTGACAAGAGATTCAGTTTGATTAAAAAGATAAAGAAATGGCCTATTCCTATTCAGGAATTTTCAAATACTGAATGCACAGACAATCATGTACATAGGAATTGGGTCCATTTGGAGGAAGGGAGAAGTCCTGGAAGAAGACATTCTATAAGTGGATCAAATTGCTTTGCAGAAGAGTTGATACCAAATAAGAGAAGGCAGTCTGATGGCTTTATTCATGCAAAAGAAATGGAAAAGGAAGCAGAGCCACTAGGTTCTCAAAAGTTTGATATGGTCCCAAGAGCACTGTTATTTGGAAATTCCCTAGAAACTAATAAGCCTACATCTTTTTTAGATGTAGAGAAAAGGGCTTTGCGAGTTCCAAATCCTCCCCCAAGACCTTCATGTTCCATTTCTAGCGGACCTAAAGAGGAAAGTTCAGCTCCAATGCCTGCACCACCACCACCTCCTCCACCTCCACCCCTTCCAAAGCTCTCAGCAAAAAATGGTGCACAAGTACAGCGAGCCCCCCAAGTAGTTGAGTTCTACCATTCACTTATGAAGAGGGACTCACGGAAAGATTCTACCGGTGGAGGAATTTGTGATGCTCCAGATGTTGCAAATGTTCGTAGCAGCATGATTGGTGAAATTGAGAACAGATCATCGCATTTGCTTGCGGTACATGTTTCTCACTGTACTTTTTTAAAAAAATATGTATTTATCTTTTTTAATGGGCCTGGATTTCCTTTACATGAATGGATGCAGCTTCCAAGATGTGTTTCTAACAAGAGACTTGGATTCTGTTTAATTGTTAACATGAAATGAAAGTTGTAAAGCTAAGTTTGAGATTCTTAAAGCTTGTATTGATTAGAGTTTCTGTTGCATGTACTGAAGTTTTTTCATTTGGTAGATAATATTATGCTTTATTTTCTTCTCATTCAGTTTCAAATTAGGTTGTATTCCAGATGCTAACTGCAGTCAGTCATCATTGTAGATAAAGGCAGATGTTGAAACTCAAGGAGAATTTGTTAATTCGCTGATAAGAGAAGTCAACAATGCAGTTTATCAGAACATCGAAGATGTAGTGGCATTTGTAAAATGGCTTGATGATGAACTTTGCTACCTAGTAAGTTGATCATTTTCATGATCAAATAACTTAAATGGCTTGATTTCTCTTTGGTAGAACCTCCTGAAAGAATGCAAGAAAATAGACCTGTAATGTTTTAACTAAAGTTTTTTCATTTTATGTAGGTTGATGAAAGGGCAGTCCTAAAGCACTTTGATTGGCCAGAAAAGAAGGCTGACACATTGCGGGAAGCAGCATTTGGGTATCAAGATCTCAAGAAGTTGGAGTCTGAGGTATCTTACTACAAGGATGATCCCCGAATACCTTGTGATGTTGCATTAAAGAAAATGGTTGCTTTTTCTGAGAAGTAAGATTCCCGAACATATCTTGAGCAAATTTCTAGCTAGTTTTTTTTTTTTCTTTCTTAGTTCTCAAAAATTTTCATAATTTCAATGATTCTTGTAATCGAAAACATTTACTAATTAGAAACATATAAATTTCCCTTAAATTTCTAGGATGGAGCGCACTGTTTATAACCTTCTTCGTACAAGGGAATCACTGATGCGTAACTGCAAGGAATTCCAAATTCCTACAGACTGGATGCTTGACAATGGGATTGTAAGCAAGGTAACTGAAACTGTCATGTCCAATGTATTTTGCTCTAAATAGATATATACTCCACTTTGACACTTACGGTGCCGTGTATGAGTGTATCAGCTATAAGGGGGTCATTTATGGTTTAAAGTTAGTGTAGAAGATAGGATTAGTTGGAAATCATCTGGTATTAATGTCAACTTTATTTCAAATAATTATTAAATGGCCCAGGAAAATGTTTAAGCATTGCTTAGAAAAAATGTCTCCATTAATTTTTTCAAACTTCTGAGTGCTACTTTAGAGGTGATGTCTAGACTGTCTTCCTTGCTTGATTGCTTCTGTTCTATTAACATGGTGGAACATTTTCTTATAAATTCCAATAAAATTCAACCGTTTAACCTTATTGATGCTAAGAAGAAATTAGACATTTCTTCTTTTCTGTCTTTCTTTATTTTTTTCGTTAGTTTGAACTTGTAAAGAATAGTTTGATGTTCTATGATCAAAGGCTCAATCATGGCATATTTCAGATTAAGCTTGGCTCAGTAAAATTGGCAAAGAAATACATGAAAAGAGTAGCAACAGAGCTACAGTTGAAAGCAGCACTGGAGATGGATCCTTCAATGGACTATATGCTACTCCAGGGAGTTAGGTTTGCCTTCAGAATCCATCAGGTTTGTCTTGTGATCTTGCAGTTATGCACCTTCAATGTGACATTGCTTACTTTAGCATGTGAATGAGTTGACTTCTAACAATCTCCGCTGAATATCTATAATGATATTTTGTCTGCTTCATGCAGTTTGCTGGTGGGTTTGATGCTGAAACAATGCATGCATTTGAGGAACTCCGCAACCTCGCCAATCTTCTGAACAAGAAGTGAAGATCTTGATTCTTTTTCCATTTTTTTTGCGGGGGGTGGTTGGGGTAGCAACATGCAAGGGAAACACCTTTTGCTTACCATCTCAGTAAGCTGCAACGGCACATATGCTTACTGGGGAAATCCAGTAGGGCAGAGTGTGTTTTATGTTAATCTGCCATGGTGATAACAGTAAACTGGTTGGGTGTTGAACAAGAAAAAGGAAAATTTTATCTCAGTTGATAATTAAAATATTCTATGAGAATTTGGCAATTTGCTATGGTTTTCTGCATCTCATTTGTGTTGATATTTCCACTACTCAAAATTGTTTACATGGAACATTCTCAAGGTTCATAGACATGTTTGTTCCTGTCCTTCTATATCTTCCTACTTTGGAGCACATGGAAGATGGAACTTCATATATAATGAAAGGTGACTGTACCCATGATATCAAGAATTTGTATTTACATATTGCAAGTCTTTTAAGAGTAGTTTAGAGGGGTATGGTGAGTTATTATTTTATTAAGTCTACATAAAATTTATTTTATTTTATTGATATTTTATTAATTTATAAATTTTTAAAATAATTAATTATAAATTTTAAAAATATTAATTTAAAAATTAATTTTATTATATTAAATAATAAATATATCTTGTTTTGTTAATTACTAACTATTTTAAAAAAATTATATAAAATTGTATGACATTGATAAAATAATTAGTGACCATATCACATATATAGTTTTGACCAAAATTGTTCATTGATTTTGTAAATTGTTGTATAATGATGGTGATTATATTTACTTACAATTTTATTGAAGTTAATTTAATTGTTAAAAACAATTAATAAAAATAATTAATATTTATTATTTACTATATTAAAGTTAATTTATAAATTAATATTTTTAAATATTATAATTAATTATTTTAAAAAATAACAAATAAACTCAAAATTAAACAATTTTTAATAATAAAAATCACACCTCTACATGACCTATGACCTACGATTGATTAAATCTGAGCCGCAACCAAAAAGAAGGAATGAAAGGACGTTGGAGTTTGACGTCTTGACAAGATGTAACAATAACTTTCAATCAATTATCTAAATTTATTTTCTCATAAAAAGAAATATCAAACTTATTTTGGATTTAGCAATCCTTGTTTTTTTTTTTTTTGAACAGTACAAAAATCAGTTGGATTTAGCACTCTTAACTCCTCCTCAGCCGCAAATTGCTAAAATAATTGTTGTACCCTTACAAGATATTTTGGTTGGTCGAACAATTCTTTGGTGCGTTGTTCCCTTACTTATAAAAATAAATTTTTTTAATATTTATTTTTTATTCATAAAATTTAAAATTAAATTTTTATTTAAAAAAATTAGACTTTTTCACTGTTGATATTTATGTTTTTTATACCACCTCTAAACTTTGCTTCATAGATGAAGTCCACGCTTAAATAGGAAATTGTATCAAAGCCACTGTTCAACCAATGGAAAACCACCCATCATACTTCATTCAGCCAATGATGATGTTAAAATGACGAGAGAAATTAGAACACCCTGTTGTTTCCCAATTTAATGTGGTTGCCAACAACCCAGAATTTTAAATTTAAATAGTGTAAAATATAAATAAAATGAATTAAGAAATAAAAATTTAATTTTTATTATATAACTCAAAATTAAAAAAAAAATACAATAAATGATTCTCGAATTGCAAAATACTATTTCTTTATGCGTTTAACTAGCTACTAGCCTACTACATCAGATGGTAAAAGGTTAAATCCACTAGTTATCTCTCAAAATAAAATTTTATTTTAATTTTATAATTTAAATGTATGATAAGTATATATTTTTATTATAAAATTTTATTTTAAAAATAAAAATTAATCTGTCAATTATTTACCTAATTTAATAATAATTTTTTAATAAAAAAATTTAAATTTAAATTACTTAAGATATAAATGATATGAGATAAAAGATGAAAAAAAATTATTTTTTATTATATAATTATGATTAAAAATATAAAAAATAATAATTAATATATAATTAAATTAATTCAACTAACACTAATACTAAAATTAATATACATATTTTTAATTTGTACTCTTAAAAATATTTATAAAAAAATAATGAAAAAATAGTGAAAATTAAGATTGTTTGACATGATACGTGCCTAATCTGTGATCACTTCCCCAGAGGTGGATTTGTTAGCAGAAGGGCCCCTTGTTGTCTCCACCTTCCTCCTCACACACGCCACTCTGCTTCCATCTCCACCGCATCTGTCACGACTCACACCCAAATTTCTACCTAATTTAATTCTATATTATTTCTCTGCTTTCTTTCCTTTGCTCTTTATATTTCACCTTCACTTGCAGAAATGTCAATGACTTCTACTTCTTGAGTTCTTTTCTCTTCAAAGCCTACGCCTGTACGCCCTCTTTGCTTCTCCCAACTAAACTCTACCGAGTTACAACCCTAAAACCCCACGCAACTTTCGACTCCAAAAGAACTGTTTCAAATTTATTGAGGGGAGCTATGTCAGCCGCCGTTGCCGCCGCTGCTGCTGCCGCCGCATGCAGTTCCTCTAACAGCAGTTACCGGAATGAGGGTGATCGGTTTGCTTCATCATCCCAACCATCTATGCCGCCCTCATTGCTGCTTATGAATCTCAGAAACGACGTCACTGGATATGGAACACCTTCGGCCTATACCAGAGGAACCACCGTCCGCCGCTGGCTCTCTCGCCCTGCAGCCACGTCCTCGAGTTCCTTAAATACCCCGACCAATTCGGCAAAACCGAATTCCACACTCACAACTCCCAGCTCTTCGTCTACCCGCACCCACACCCGCTGCCCCTCTGCGCGTGACCTCTCAAGCAAGACTGGGGCAGCTTGGATGCACTCATCCGCCGACTGAGAGCCTCCTTTAAGGTGAAGCCGCGGCGGGAAGCTGGAGATGAGCCCGTTTGCATGGCACCGTGGAGTTGTAGGGATTGCTTGTGAGAAAGAAGAAAGAAAGAAAGGCACACAGAAAGAGAAGAAGAAACAAATACAGTGGCCTTCAAATGATTGTCTAATTCAGGGCAATCATTGGAATCCATGATTATGCTTCCTTTCCTTCGTTGAACTAGATGGAGTTAATTTCTGTTATACTTATTATGAGAGATGTGGGGTTGATGATGGTGATTAATTAATCTTACATCTTTACCGTATGTGCATCTGAAGTTTGTGTACTCAGTATGTAATCAGTAATTTACATATATTGTGTGGTCTTTGTTAATGATCAAGTAAATGAGTTGAAAAGATATAATTAGCAATCTGTTTAGTTTTAGGAAATGCACTTTTAATTTATTTTTGCTATCTAATTTTGTGTTTAAAACTCATCCGATCAGCATGAATATATGCAATTATGCATTATAAATTGCTTTTGATGATATGTCAAATGAAATGAGTAGTGTTATGTGCATTCGGATAGAGCACACCAACACTTTTCTTTAGTTCATTTTTCATTTTTCTTTTTAGTTTTTTCATTAAAATAAAAATACACTCAAATCAATAAAGACTTAAGTGCTAATTGTTGAATGCAACTAATATTTCTCTGTATCAAATTGTTGGTTTTGTGGTTTGCACTTGCTCATCAATATAATGATGATTGCATGGCCATGAAAGAGCCTACCCCATGTAAAACTCTTTCAACTTGAGTACTCCGTGATCCATGAGCTGCTCAACTCAGCCTTAATGGTGTTGTGTTATACCTATATTATTCTTATTGTCCTTGAATTCTTAACATGTTTGATTAATCATGGCAGATGTATAGTGTGTTACACAGAGATAAATTGCCACCAAAAACTATATGAAGTTAGGAGCTAGCCTAGTTTATCTAAGGATGTGAACAGACGTTGGGTTAAGACATGAGATCAGGAACTTCAATGATGAACTTGATCACAAAAAGAAAATGTTTGAGGCAGAAATGAACATTTTACTAAAAGAGTTTACTATTAACAAATTTCGTGATTAACATTATTAGATGGATATAATTACACATCAGAATCCATTATCTGTTTCTAGAAGTGGGATATACTTTTAACTGATTGAATTGTTAAGATATATATTTCTTCCAACATACGAGACTTACAGGACAACTCTTTACATCCACAAAAAGATAAAAAGGGATTTATTTCCATAATTCCTTTGAAAAAGTTAGTGGTGGAAAATGCTGCTGCTCTTTTCGGATGGAAGAAGCATATAATCCCCCCGCTGGCCACCTCTCATGATTTCTTATAATTAGTAGTGGTGCTAATGCTGGTGCAGATATATCCCTCCCCCACCTTAATTTTATACCATTTCTTTTGAAATTGAGTAATTGAGAGTTTTGATAAGGAGAAAGGGACATCAAGGGTATGTATATAACCAAGGTCAAGCATTTGTTGGGTTACTGTGGATTTTGATAAAGGGAAAGGAAGGTATAATTTGTGTGCATCAACATTACTGGCGCTTTTAAAATGAAGCACAGAATAGGAATCAAGGGTCCTTGATGGGCTCTTATCCACTGAAGCAAAGCCGCAATCACCAAAGCTGGGTCAACCTCCAAGGCCAACTTGAATGGTACAAAATCCCTTGCCAAAATCAATGCTTCTTTGAATGCAACACACTCTGAAAGGAAAAGATCTACCGACACTTTGAAATGGAGAGAGGCTATAGATTGATCCCAATCATCCTGAAGGACCACCCCAACTCAACCGCATCCCACCCCTCCCAGGTATTGTCTAAAGGAAGCATCGATACCAACCTTATGAAAACCAGCTGCTGGTGGCCTGCCTCCACCTAGCTCTAGACACTGCCTAATGAAGAATCTCTAACATCCTGCAGTTGAGTGTAGTGAATAATGTCAAAATCTTAATCATCATCAATACATTTGAGACTACCTTTATTTCTTCATCAAGGATGTTGTTTCTGGTGACCCATAAGCCACATGCAATCAGGAGACCTGAGCTTGCTCATTCTTCTTGTCTTAAGATAACTATCATGCAACCTTCCTACAATATTCCACATTCATGTGGTTGAATATACACCACTAGCAAACTTTCAGGTCCACAGAGCAATACAATAGTCCCTCATGATCAGCATTCTGATGCATTTCATCACAGCACCGGTAGTCCTAGTGACATTTGTTTTCATTTCTTAATATTCATCAAATTAATTAATTGATTAATTAAGAAATTTGAATAGGATAAAGCGATTTTCATATCCAATTATTCTTTTCAAATTTGTTTCAATCCACTTCAGGTACAGAATACAGATTGAAAATTTATAGGAATCATCCAATGAAGACATGAGAGATTCTAATTGCTATCCATAGCAGATCTCAATGGAGGAAGTAAAATCACTACACTGTGTCAAAGTAAACAGCTTTTCTCCCTATTCCACACTTCTACCCCTACAAATTATCTTTTAATATAGGTTAATAGTTGGAAAGGAAAATCATATCATATATATTGTTTTCAACCATTATCCTAGGATTATAGGCTAGTTTATATAAGCCAAACACTCTATACCACCTAGGGGTTTCCATTAAACCTAATTCCATGCTTCTCTGGGCTCACTACTATGCATCAAACACCTGGCAGAAGTTGACTTATCCAATTCTAGTAGAATATCCAACAATGCATTTATCTGTTTTCTGTTTTATAAAAGAATCAACTTCAAAGTACTGCATGCATACCTGTCAGCCATAAGCACAACTGTTGTATAGGAACTATGTGAACTTGAAGGTTGGATTGGTTGAGTCCTTTTCCACAAATTATAATTGCAAATAAATTTATTTCCTAGAAAGAAAAAACTCATGACGATCACAAATGATAATAAAATGCAAACCAAGAAAATAAGTGTTATGAAAACTTAAAGAATGTCCGTCTTAATCTTAATCATAAGTGGCAAAAAGAACAAAACAAAAATGCAACAGGATCACATCATCACAAACAGATGCATATAAATAAATAAAACGTTGTTGACAAATGGACCTCTGGCTTCACCACAGCCTCAATTAAGCTGGACCATGTAGTTCTAATTTCTATGCTGATTATGGGAGTCAGATTTCTACTTTACAAAGTTAATTTTAAACATTTATATATGCATTCTAAACATTTACAAATGCACCTAAAGCCTCCAACATCCTCCATCAACTTCAATTGTAGAGTTTCATTAACACTCAAAAACATTGCCAAAATAAAACTTTTATAATGCCTCAAATGAAAAATTCACACAGTTTTGTAATTGATATAATTGTTTTAATTAACCTGAAGATAAAATACTATCTCTAATGATTCATGAAAAGAAGCAAATAAAATGTTTACATTTTCTACTTGTTCCACTAGTTAGAAAGATTACAAAAATTGCATGTCATAGCTCTGAAATAGATGACGTTTCTTCCATATACACAAAAACCAATTTAAAGAAAAAAAATCTCTCTCAATTTTTACTGAATTAGGATGCAACTATAAACTTACCAAGTTAAACAGGAAAAATATAGAAGATTCTAGAGTGCATTCTTACCAGAGTCCACAAGCCAGAATTTAATTGATCCATGATCATGTTGCTCCTTCAATGACAGGAAAGGGTCGAAAGGAAATCAAACCACAAAGGTTTGTGGGTGCATTTGAAGATAAAGTTGAGGAACATAGCCTTCTTGTTTCATCTCTAAAAGAAGAGTCTTTAATAATGGATAGATCTGAGCAGACTGTGGATGACTTTCATCAGCAGCACAAAACACATGAGTGTTGTTGTTAACCTCGATCCAACTGTAGCCAGGGACTTTCTGAACTCCTCTTTCTTTCATAAAACTTCGAATCTCCCGCACACCACCCCACCGTCCTGCGTTAGCATGTATATTTGAAAGTAGGATATAATAACCAGAATTTTGTGGGTCCAAGTCAAAAAGATGCCTTGAAGCCACTTCAGCAAGCTCAATGTTGCCATGATTTCGACATGCTCCAAGTAATGTACCCCACACACCAGCATCAGGTGAGAAGGGCATACTCTTTATGATTTCAAACGCTTTATTCAAATGACCAGCACGACCAAATAAATCAACCATGCATGCATAATGTTCCATCCTAGCTGGGATCCCATATTCCTTAGTCATGCACCAGAAGTATTGAATTCCATTGTCAACTTTGCCAGCATGCCCACAAGCAGATAGAATAGCAAGAAAGGTGACATGATCGGGCTGAATTCCAGTGTCCAACATTTTGTTGAACAGACCAAGAGAATCCTTAAGACGGCCATGGTTTCCATAAGCAGCAATGATGCTATTCCATGAAACATCATTCTTCTCTTGCATCATGTCAAATACACGTTGAGCAAAATCCAGATTTCCACATTTCGCATACATATCTATCAATGCACTCTCTGCAAACAAATCAGAGGGAACTGAGCCTTTGATCATGAAACCGTGGATCTCTTTCCCATAATGCAGTGCAGTTAAGTTTGCACAAGCAGAAAGAGCAGCTGATATGCTCACACCATCATACTTGAATCCTCTGTTTCCCATCTGACAAAAAAGATCAATGGCCTCCTCTGGTTTGCCATTCTGGGAACAGCTTGTGATCATAGAGTTCCAACAGATTGAATCCTTGTCAGATAATCTCATAAAAATTTGATAAGCGAGATCCAATCTTCCACATTTTGCATACATATCCATGATAGCACTTGCCACCAGACACATCTGATCAAGCCCATTCTTGATGATGTAACCATGCAATTCCTTCCCTAATTTCAGAGCTGTTAAACCAGCACAAGCTGGTAAGGTACTTGCCAGGGTTACATAATTTGGACTGATTTTTTCTTGAAGCAGCTGCCTAAATATCTCTAAACCATCCCTGTTCATCCCATTAAGTACGCATCCTGAAATCATAGCTGTGCACACAACAACATCAATCATGGTGCTTTGGTCATATATCTTGTGTGCCATCTCCACATTCCCACACTTGAAGTAAACATCAATAAGGGCGCTCCTTAAGAACATATCCAAAAGCACACCATTTCGTACTATATAACCATGAATTTCTTTACCTATTTTGGGACTTGCCAGCTTAACAACTGACGGAAGAAAGCTTGAGAATGTGATAGAGTCAGGTTTCACAACAGAATATAACATTTCTTGGAAAAGTTGGGAAGCCTCCTTCATAAACCCACTTTGTACATGCCCAGCAATCATCCCATTCCAAGTCACCACATTGTTCTGAGGCATTAAATTAAACAGTTTACGAGCATCAGACAACTGCCCACATTTAGAATACATCGACAACAGAGTGTTACCCACTGAAGAATCAAATTCAAACCCACAATGCACAACAAGACCATGAAGCTGAGTACCTAAATCAATCATTCCTTCTGAGGCACATAAGGACAAAATACAAACAAATGTCACTGAATTTGGCTTAGTTTGACTGTCAAGCATATCCTCAAAGAGCACTATAGCTTTACCACATTCCCCACATTTGACATAACCATTAAGCATCACATTCCACAAGACACAATCTTTCTCAGTAATTTTATCAAACAACTTGTGTGCATCATATATACAACCGTTCTCCACATAAAACTTGATCAAAGAACTTCCCACAAACACGTCCACCTCAAAACCCATAAAACAAATCATATCGTGAACCAATGTACCCAGTCTAACATTATTCAATCCACCGCAAGCCTTGATTACACTAGGAAAAGTATACCTATCCGGAAAAACTCCACACCCCAACATCTTAAAGTAAAACAACAATGCAAACTCAAACCAACCCATCTTTACAAATCCTCGAATCATCGAGTTCCAGGGCATGGTACGGCATAAATCAAGCTGAAAAAACATATCCTTGGCGTCTATGAAGCAACCACAAAGAATATAGATACCCAAAATTTTTCCACCCAGAGGAGAATCCCTGCTAACTCCATTGACAATGAACTGGGCATGAACCTGTCTATTTTGTTCAAGAGTGACACTGACAGGAGCAGAACAAGATTCCAAGAATGCCGCTAGCCGGGTTGCCAGAAATTCCTCTGAATTTCTGGAGAAAGAGACGGATTTGGTGACAATTTCGCAACATGTATGAATGGATTTCAGTGATCTAATGTATGCAAACGGTTTACAGATTGAGCAGAGAAAGTTCTGGTACATTTTCCCTCAAAAAAACATACCATCCTGTTGGTTTTGAGAAAATTAAAAATTTTAGGCCCGTTCGGTACATACATGTCTCGGAATTTTCTTTAAGCCACGCCAGAATAGCAAAGTGTTTCTGGCAGGGTAATATAATATAAGTGATTTTTCACCGAACAAGCTGTTGGTTGGAGTGAAAAAATATGGCAAAAATATGACATAAGGACCCGAACTTACACCAAATTCGCAATTTCGGACCCAAACTTCGATTGCGCTCAATGAAGGTCCCGAACTCCACGAAATTCTCAAATAAGGACCCAATTGGACGGAAAACTAACTTCCGTTAAATCTCCTATTATTCCGTTAATGATCCGTCACATTTCACACCCGCCACTTGAAAAAAATTGGTTAAATGCTAATTTTGGTCCCTCAACTTCATTAAGTTTCACTTTTTTGTCCCTCAACTTCATTAAATTTTACTTTTTTATCCCTCAACTTTATTGAATTGTATTTTTTTGGTTCATAAACTATTTTTTGTACTTTTTTGGTCCTTAAATTATTTTTACACTTTTTTAATCCCTTAACTTTAATAACTACACAATTTTGATACTTTCATCAGTTTAAGCTATTAACTCCGTCCACTTGGTATTTTTTTTATTTTTTTGATGACATATATAATCTAATTAGAAAAAAATGATAATATGGATAAATAAAATAATATGTAGATAAATCTTTATATTTTTTATAAAAAAAATATAAAAACCTCTCTACCTATTTTCTTCCCCCTCTTTCTTTCTCTTTTTTCTAGCGGGGGAAGAAAATAGGTGGAGAGGTTTTTTATTTTTATTAAAAATATAAAAATTTATCTACATATTATTTTATTTATCTATGTCATCATTATTTCTAGTTAAATGATTCATGCTATTATTTTTTTCCAGTTAGATTATACATGTCATCAAAAAAATATAAAAAATGCCACATGAATGAAGTTAACGGTTTAAACTAACGAAAGTATCAAAATTGTGCAGTTGTTAAAGTTAAATGATAAAAAAAGTGCAAAAAATAGTTTAAGGACCAAAAAAGTGCAAAAATTAGTTTAAAGACCAAAAAAGTATAACTTAATAAAGTTGAAGGATAACAAAGTGCAATTTAATAAAGTTGAGGGATAAAAAATAAAATTTAATAAAGTTGAGGGACAAAAAAGTGAAACTCAATGAAGTTAAGGGACCAAAATTAGTATTTAACCAATTTTTTTCAAGCGGCGGGTGTGAAATGTGACGGAACATTAACGGAATAATAAGAGATTTAACGGAAGTTAGTTTTCCGTCCAATTGAGTCCTTATTTGAGAATTTCGTAGAGTTCGGAACCTTCAATGAGCGCAATCGAAGTTTGGGTCTGAAATTACGAATTTGGTGTAAGTTCGGGTCCTTATGTCATATTTTTGCC